GTTCGCCTCGAATTTCTCTGCCATTAACCGAGAAATCGATCACCACATCAAATATTCATCTTCTTCATTCCTGATACAACCTAATTGGTTGCTTTTTGAAAGCCTTTTCATGCCTTTTATGGCTGTTTTTCAAACAGCATCCAAAAAGCTGTTCGTTAGGTTGTTGTCGATTCGCGAGTCGTTTCCTCACAACGCCTCTCCTTTTTATAAAAATCGATGAATCATCGATAAAGTATTGATCATTTCCAGATGGCCGACAAAGAAACGTTAGAGTTCAAGTGGGATCAGAAGGATGTGAAAAAGAGGTGGGTGGATTTCTACTATTCACTTTCTTCATTCTTATTTATTCAAACCTAAATTCTTCGCCCATTTTGATCTTTTTCGATCCCACATCCTTCACCTTGCACCTTGCGTTGTGATCTCATCCCATCTGTTAGAATTTACAGGAAAAAGTATTTCGTGTCTGAGTTCCCATATATGAGCCATTACCCACATTATGCTGAATAAGCCCCCTTCTTCCTTACCCTTTGGTAATGTAGGCCTGCTACTGTTCAAGATATTCCTGCGCAATCTTCAAGTTTTGACTTCTCGGCAAGAAGGTTTAATAGGGTTCTTCGCATGCCTAACTTTCATTTTACGATTCCTGAGTCATCAAACCAGCCTCCATTCTTTCACAGCAATTCACTGCCTGTCCCATAATTTCCAACGTACCTTAACCGGCCATTTAATAGTATTCCCGCATCGAATGTTTGCATTTCGGTCTCGATTTCGAGCAATCTTGCAAAGGATAAATTATCTTTGAACCCTGACGGAGCAATAAGTCATGATTTCAAACCAAAGTTCATAGGTTTTGGCAGTCATATTCAGCCTCAGTTTCCAAAATCGAGTGAAAGATATTTTATCCCCTTCGGATCCCAATCACGGCTCCATCACGCCCATGGCGTTCACATTAGTTCATGAGTCTTGGCTGGCTTCACATGAATAATTTAAAAAACTGTGCTACAATTTTGATGAATTATGAATTAATCGCTAAATAATTCATCGACGAAGCCTGGTAGTTCCGAAGAAATTGCTGCACTCTTTTTTTATCCTCTGATCGGCTGCATGAAGTACTTTTGAACGAAACAGAACAGACCGTGAAAAAGAAGGTAATCACGAGTTCAAGTTACTATTTGGTCTTCCTACAAAATTTTTCGAATTCCTTTCAATTTATTTTTTGCATTTTTCACAGCCATAACCAGTTATTTACGATAAGACGTATATATGACATAATAAGATTATTTATTTATTTATTAAGTTATGATATGAAATATCCTCCTAAGTTTTCCGATTTAAAGATCATTTTTTGGCCCAAATAGATAAATATAATTTCAGAAGATATTAAATAGTCTTGGCTCTTCTAGCCACACTTGCTCCTAGAAATCTCGTCTACCCATTATTAATCATTTGCAAGTCCAAGAGAGGACCCTATAGAATTCCCTAGAGGATTCAAAAGTTTGGGAGGGGGACTTGGGGGAGGGGAAGAGGGGAGCGGGTAGGCTATTCTTGAAATTCTCAATCGCCGAGCTTATTAATTACAACTTTCATGGTCTAGACATTACAGCTCTGACTTGCTGAATGCTTGACTATTACAGCAGGTCTACATGAAGATTTTAGGAGGTGCAGTTTAGTCATCAACCAGCTTTTTTAAGTGATTCTATCCAACTGTTGATGTCATTCCTGATGCTTGATGCCTCTCCATTCAAGCAATGATTCCGAGCTCTCGTTGCGGAACCCAGCTCTTCTAATCGTCCACCTAATCATGTATGCGGTGTCCGTGACGATGTTTGTGTTACGGCTCATGGAAATGAAGCATAACGCTCAAACAATCTAGAGCTAGAGTCCCTGCTGTACCTGAGTCTGGAGGAGGATGCTCCATCCCGTACCATACTACTAAAAAGTTGCAGCAGCATGGGTAAAAGTTGAAAGAAAAATTAATTTTGCCCGGCTGCAACAATGGCCAGACCATCGGCACTGCACCTATAGTGTGCTAGAGATCAATCCTCGCTCACGCCAAACAACCACCCCATCCACACACATTATTCAGATGGAAGTAGAAACACTGACTTCATCATCGGTTCCCCTCCCTTTTAAGTTTGTCATCTAAAGTAATTGTTTGGATTCAAATGCCTTTGCCTATAGAAGTTCAATGCATGGCGCAATCCCAAGAGAATTGATCTGTTAGGACACGATACAGGCAATTTCTCATTCGCCGCAGAAGCCCATCATGTCAACTAATGGCAGCAGAAAACTAAAACGGACTTTTTGTGTAAAGAAAAAAACCGACACGATCATCGACCATTCTCCTCTCGGGCCATTATTCCAAAAACTCTAATCATCAATCAATCATCTCGATGGTGTTAGCAGAAAATTGTACGCTCATGATGTTCTGAGCGATTTTCTTTGTTGCTTTACACTATGCCCTGGTGCAAAACATGAACACTGCGTGGGTCCCCAATCAGTCTTCATTTTTTGTTTGTTGGAATTACGTATTGATTTTCACTAAGCTGTAATAAGAGAGCTAAGAGGGAATAGGCAGCAAACAGCATCGGGCCCAGATGAAGGAAGTCAAGTAAACTATGCTGAAGTTCTATTCTTGAAGGCAACTGACGGATCGATAAGGAACGGAGCAGAGCCTTCGAGAGACAGAATAATTGAGTATGAGATTCGAATTATGCACCCAAGCGTCATCCTTTTATGTTGGTCTAGGAACATCGACTAGATGGTAGCAGAGGAACAGTCACCGAGTGGACGGCTCACGAGTTGGCTCCCGCTTCAGTCGAGCCTAACTTGCAAACCTCTCTCTGACCAGAATAACTGGAGTTCGATAGGAGGGTTGGGACAGTAGGCTTCTGCAATTGGAGAGGCAAGCCAGTAACCCCATTCAGACCGCTCCACTTTTTCAACTATAAGGCGAATGCATGCGTCTATCCCAAAAAAGGACCAATTGACGTCATATTCCTAATCCTCTTGTCTTAAATATGCAGCTCCAGGATTCGCTCTCAGGTAATCGGGAGAAACCGCGAAACAACAGGGTGGCATATGATCTTCGCTCCAGTATTTTGCCTTTTTCCAGATACTTATGAGTGTAAACGGGATACTCTAACTAAACGTAGAGCTGTTGTAGCAGATGGTCGAAAACCCAATTTTCTGACCTCACACAGGTTCGAAATACTATATAGAAGGGAGTTCTGCGTTTTGATCTACGAAGGTAGGAAATCGACAACATTGTTGATTTCTTCGTCCTCTTCTCTCTTTTGTTTATCACGTTTTTGTTATTTCCCTCAATGTTCCATTAATCTAATTCCCATCCTCATAGTCAGGGCGAAAACAAATTCATCTCCAGCTCAGCATATCAGAGTTCTCAGAATAAAACCGTTATTTTGTTCCTATCCCCATTCATCATTGTGAAGGTTTTCTTTTTAAACTGTTAGGCCGCAGAGGTAATACATCAAAATCCTATTACACCTTTGCTGATGACCCTAGATCAAAAAGAATCTTAAGAACCGTCTTTCAGATTGTTTGTGGGTATGTCTCCGATGGGGATTATGAAACGGCCATTAAAACGGTCATGAAGTAAAGTAGGGATGTGGCGTTAGCTCCGAATTATGGATGTACGTGTAGTCCTATAGGAAGCGTGCCATTCCTAGTAGTAAGCCATGAAAGCACAAAGTAGTCCCGAATATTTTGGAAAAGTAATTCCCGAATATGTTGGCAAGGGAATAGTAGCGAACCACCTATAACCGCCTGATACACCGTTCCAACGAAGGTTTCCATCCTTAGTGAGGAAGTCGCACGACCGAGTCACATGCAAAGTAGAACCTAGTTGTTCCTTGCCCTGGTAGACTCCATTGCCTATCGATCATATTCGCCCGAGTGAGAAGTTAAAAAACAAACGTCAAAACTTATCAGAAAATGTTGAACTTCACTCAGCCTAAGTTCCAGTGGAGAACGGGCCATGCTAAGTTGAGCATATTGTATTCAGAACTTATTCTCAGGATTTTCCACCTCAGGACTTTCTACCTTTTACTTACAGGGCTTTCTTTCGTAGGTTGCAGTCAATATCGAATAAATTGCAGCCAATTTTATAGTTTTCCTATTCTCTTTCGTGAATTTTGCCATTTTCGTATTTGTGAACTTCAATTTGTAAACTTTGCAATCAATTTCGTAAACTTGGACTGTCATTGTGAATTCACCTCTTCATTTTTCTTCATTTGGAAATTGATGCAGTATTGAGCAAATTGATTGCAAACTTTACAAAATGGGGTTCACAAGTAGGAATATGCACAATCTACAAAATAAAATGGAAAAACTGCAAAATTAATTGCAAAATATATGAAGTTGACTACAATGTTTACGAATTGAGGTGGAAAACTCTAAATTTATTTGTATGCGATTCATCAGCAGTAAGAACTTGAAAAAAACGTCCAAGTCTTCACTACAGTGCAAAAATGCGAACAAGTCTTCTTTTCCTCGCATCCATGATGAAGTGTTCAGACTTGACCTTTTTGAGATTGCCGCGCGCGCGGCAGCTAACCATAAATTTAGACAAGGCAACCGGGTGACGAGTGCCTCTTCCCACGTACAAGCGGCAAGTTTGCACTTCAGGCATCTTTGAATGTGTAACGGCGGTACGAATTCGTTAAAAGGGACACCTACCAGATCATGCAGCTTTGCTCTGCTTGATCCAAACTTTTTCTCGTGATCTATTCCAAAACTTGACTACAACACTCTGCCTAGCCCTTCATTTAAACCCCACCTCATTCACTTTCCTCATCCTACTAATCAGCCTTGAATACCACAGATTTCTTTCCAATCACATTCAAAGTCACAGTAGGTTCTTTTTTGGCAAAAAAAAAAATGTGACAAGTCTTATAGAAGGGTTATAAATATTTATGAATCCGTCTTAAACTATTTGTTGTATAATCTGCCTCCCTTTTGAACAAAATCTTGTACGCAATATGCAACAACAGACTAGCAAATACAATTTCAGATGGGAAGCGTTTACGAAGTTCGGAGCCGCTACGGCCACCGAAATGACTGGCAAGAATTTTGACAAATGGCTGAAGGATGCTGGTGTACTCGACTCAAAAACCATTACCACCACAATGACCGGCATTGCTTTCAGTAAAGTGGCTGGGTAAGTTTTTAGTGTCGCTCATGTCGGTAGCATTGTCATTCAACTCAGTGAAGCATGTGAGATAAAGTCTTTCATTCGAGTCATATTCCTCCAGCTGGTAGTATAAGAGATTTTCCCACTGTTTCCTCAACCATGTTTGATCCAGCAAGCAAGGGATTTCTTAAGGATTCCTAGAATAATGAATCCCTTTCTTCAATAAAGACTAATGTTTGGAATAGTATGTTACCTCTAGAAACCTCCAAGTATAACTTATGTTAGGGGAATCATAATAACTACTTTTCAGCCCGAAAAAGAAGACCACTTTCGAGGAAACCAAAAAAGTTATCATTGGTGTAGCCGAAGATCGTGCACGACAAAGTAAGAAAAGCGTACAGGTTCGTATTATCCTTTTGAATTTGGATCTAAACAGCAAAATAGTGTAGAAATGATAGCACAAATACCTTTCGGGATTGTCGCCCCACATCTTATTGTTTTTAGGGAATCTTTTAGAACCTTTTTAGAATCGTTCCTTTTTATACAGTAATGATCATTGCTCCACTCAAAATATCGACTTATGTTGGCAAATGTGACAGAACGTTTGAATAATCAAATAAATAAATGGCATAATTGTCAAGCAAATAAATGGATTTGCGCCTTATTCGATTGCATATTCTATGCGCAAAGTGATGACGCAGGGGCTATTGGCCCTGCATCGTCTTTGTGGTTTATGGGATCAAATCAAACATAGGCCTAGGCCATGCACATTGTCAGGTTGGGACTGATTTTCTAGCACTGCACATGTGTGAAGGGATAAAAATACTGACAGAAACGTTCCATATTTCCCATTATACTTAACAAAAAAACGTAATAATCCTGAGTTAAGGCTATGAGTACTGGTTCATTACGCGAACGTAAACGAACACTAATACCATGCATGAGAATTTTATTTACAAGTGTACAACAATTTCGACCCGCTAGACTTTTTTTTTTATAAAAAAAAATCCTCACCTGAACAAACTTCAAAGGGTCAATTGAGAAGATTTCAATGGAATTAAACTCCATTGCGTACAATAACACATACCTGATATGGATCTTGATAACATATCAGTCTTCTACGATAACATTCCAATCTTCACCGTCTCCAATCAGATTCCTTTGAATTTGTACAGTTCTGAAGTAAAATTTTCACCCTAGTAAGCACAAATACCATAGAAACAAAGAAATTCGATTAAACGAAAATCGAAGTCCACAACAAACAACAAGCTTCCTGATAAAGACTGAATGTTTTATCGCATACAAATACAATTGGAAACATATTGTATAATAAGAATTTGAGCAGGGAAATCATTTTGTTTAACAAAATGGTCAAGAATTAGGATTCAGCGCGGTAGCCCACAGATTTTCTGGAAGAGTGAGTGAAGGAAGGTGATGGCGTTGAAGTGACGTAACCGCCGGCATTGATCATAGTAGATCATGACGTACGACAGTATCTGAACGGACGCAAATTTCAAAGAAAAAGAATCTCAAGTGTTAGCTCTAATGGAAAGCCTTCTACGACGGGTACAAGCTGTTCTAGACAATGTGCCAACAATAATTTTTTCCCAGAAGAAGCCTCCAATGACTCCCAGAGTTCAAAGCTTCGGGGATTGTGGGCTAATCATGAGAAGAATAAAATCCTATTCACCATAGAACGAGAAAGAGGTGATAAATTTACCTGAGTATAAGCATTAATATAAGCAACCTCGCAGCAGTCTGGCTGCAACGCTCTTGCTCGATCAATACCCATAGTTAGCATGTAGACTCTAGAACAGAGGGAGTATGATCGACGACAATCTTTACATGGATTAAGCTCATAACAAACAAAAATGAAAGTTGGCGCCAATGTGGTTGTGATTTCCATATGTATCGATGGGGCAATCGGCTGGCGTCCGTGCATCAACTAGGATGCCCATCTCATCCCATCGACCCCGGATCGGGCTTACCGAAGTAAATCAGGCAAAAATGCACTCTCCACCGCTTTTTAGGAAACCTATCCGGGAAAAAATTGACAGGGGCTCATTATAGTAAAGAAGTAGATGTATGTAAATATCAGTCTTACTGATGATCATTTACCCCCAACTATAAATGGCACACAAGAGCTGTCAAGGTTAACTTTTTTAGAATTAGGATATATTTATCTGTGAAGTTCGAAGTTTGAACTAGTTTGGAAATCAGTTTAGGAAGAGTTTTTGCTGACGTGTGAGCAACAATGGTTTTTCTAGGAAGAATTGGACGCAATTACTGAGAAGCTGGCCCGGCTCGAAGCGCCGACGCTGAACAGCGCTGCAAAAGCAAACGCAAATGGTGTCTACCAACGGCTCACCGACCATACCAAGTACACAGGTGCTCATAAGGAACGATTCGATGCTGAGGGAAAAGGTAAGCATGAACTTCGAAGCATAATCGATCTCACTGGAGCGCAAATGCAAGTATAAACGGCTGAGAGAGAAGAGGTCACGAGAAGATAAAGAAGACTACCAAAAAAAAATTGGAGCTCTCTATAGTAAGGATTAGCTTTCTGGATGGTGCAGTTCACGATGAAAATGGTTTCCGAGATTTTTCCCTAGATGAACCTGTGACCGACAACGACAGATCCGATATGCTGGCGGATCGAAAAACGGCCTAGGCCGGGCACAATAAGGACCCCAAAAACGGCTCAGACAAAGTTCACACCCAAAGGGGAAGGAATTCTCATGGCTTTGTAGAGTCTGAGGAGGTTGCATCATTCGCACCGGGACGCACCTTTTGCACGCAAGCAGATTACTGTGGCGAGTTGGCCATTACCCCTTCCGTGAATGCATTCTCGTCAAGCCCCTATTTTTAACACTTTTTTGAACCCATATCTTACTCTATAAAGCAAATTTTCGCGTTTCCTTCGCCACTTTTGCATTATTCTGGACAACCACTTCCATTATTTGTCTTAAACTAGATATTCCTACACTATCGTGAACTGTGCTTTGTAATTGTCATATTTTACAAATTAAAGGCAGTGTACAACCGACAACATGCGAGAGTTTTCTGAGGCCAATTAGTGCCTAATAATTTTTAGTTTATTGAGAGGAGACTCGTTGATCGAAGAGCACTGCCGGCCTGTCAAAGTTCCTACATATGTAATATTTGCCTCAGATTCGAATGCGAGTTTTAGCGGTTCTTACAGTTTTTCTTCTCATTTCGAAGTCAGAACCCCAGAATCAGAACAAGGAGCCTAGAAGATTTAGAAACTAAAATTTGAAGTAAACCAGTGAAAAAAGGACAAATTGGACCTCTTTTTTAGAATCCTTGCTTCGATTTATGACTTCTAGTTATTGGTGTGTCAACCGATAGAGTTTTATAAAACCTTGGAGCTGAAATAACTGATATCCAAGCCTGTGAAATTTCAGCTTTTTCAACCTTGAATCATCGCAAGAATTCCTTCCGCTCTGCTCTGTAGAGGCCTATTTCGACTAGTCAGCGCTGAGTCATGCATGGTTAGAGCAAGCTGTTTTTTTGCGGCCATTTCAAGCTTGTTTCGTAATGTTTGTCCTTATAAGCGCGAAAGCAATAAAAGGGCTTAGTCGTGATTCTCAATGGGACGTGTAAGGCTTTCCCAAGAACTTCCGAAAGTAATTCGTGGTCGGGGTTTTTCGTCCGACAGACGGAGCGGAGTGGGAGACCTTGGGGAAGTCCCATACCCCTAAGTTTGAGGAGGGACTGCTGGCGGATATGGTTCCGGGGAGAATGGAATGAGAACGCATAACATGTGCCTTCTACAACAAGGCACTTTTTCGATATTTTGTTCTGTACCTAACCTTGTTGTACTCAATGATGTAAGAAGTAATGAAAAATTGTACTTGAATTGCACTCAATAAATGAGCGGCATGTAGAACAATCGATTGAATCCACGAGCGGTTGCGTCGCGGCTCGTTGCTCAGCCCAAATCTGTTGGCTAGTATAAGCTACTGTTGCAGGTCGAGGAAAAGCAGGACGTGTTGATGAAACCGAAAACACCGGCTATGTGAGCGCATACAAAAACAAGGACACCTACGATAAAGTTCATACTAAGCACTGATCTCGCTCCCCGTCCCTTGATTGTTTATCGTATTTATTAATCAATATATCGATCACAATCGAATTGATTTACTTACCATGTATCCAATCTGAATTCTACATTGTTTATCGTGCATATTTGTACATTCGAATAATAAAATTGCAAATCCATTTTTTCAATATATGTCTGTTCATTTTTCTTCCTAGAATCTGCCGGCACATCAATGGCTATCCTATGGCCTTCAATGGCCTTCAATGAATCGTGTCTTGCCTGGTCTTAAATGGTCCTGATCAGTCAATCATTTCATAGGAGAATATTTTAGGGGCGCTTCCCACCTTGATTAGTTCTTTTAGCTCCGTTAAGTCGGCTTTCCGGTTAGTTTTTAAAATTCCTAATGGAAAGTTTCGAATTATAGAAATCTTCCAATGGAAAGCCATCTCATGGCGTATCGCAAAGTGTTTTGCTTAGATGAAGAGTTATTTTGCTTCTTCCAGATTCCTTCCGGTATGCCATCGAAGTAGGGTGTTGCTGGTGGTAATCCTGCTTTAACTGTAGCTCCCTCTTCTAATAGTGACCTACCTGTCCGTATTATACAAAATTCAGGCGAACGGCCTTTCAGGAAAGTACGCGACAACCCGCGCCCCATGTTTGGATCAATACGCGCTGAAAACTCGCATTGGTAGCCATTTTTTGTTCACCACAATTTTCCGGTTTTAATGAGACCTTTTCACTACATAGGCATGATGCAGATGATGAATGTGATCTCGTACTTCAATAAAGACGTACAATAACGAAAACCGGAAATCGGTGACAGTAAATTTGAAATTTTTTGTTATCCTATCAGCACCTGGAAATGTCGGGTCTTGTTCAGGACGGGTGGAGAACAAGACCATAAGAAAAGCATAAGGGGGTTCAGTAGAGGCGGAGCAAAGTATTGGATGGGGTCAAAGGGGCAACTTCCTAATTCAGTCTCAAAACAAATCAGACAGATTTATAAATGAAACAAGTGAACGGCTGTGTGCCTCCATAACCACATAGGGAACGATCTAACGACGGCTTACGTCGAAGAGACTGAAATTCTTCAGACATTTCCAACTTTCCAGCATCGATCACTAGGTACTTCATTCTTCAAGCTAACTGTCATCATCTGGGTTCACGAGCCATTTTGTGCGTAGAAGGAATACGCAATCGAATGTTACTATGATTTCGAGCAGAAATCGAATGAATGGAGTGTCCCAAAGCTTGTTGACTCAAAAGATTGTTTCTTTTGTTCCTCATGTTTGGGCGAATTACATAGTGCTAAAAAACTTTATTCATCAAACTAAGACATACTAAAAATAGCAGAATACATATGCGAGCCATCAAGTATCATACAATTTGTTACTTTTTCCGGCCTGAAAATGGTATATCATTAATTTCAAAATAAGGGCAGCGGAAAAGATTGCAGAATTTCACCTCCATAACGATAAGGGCTGGATCCGCCCAAGAAGCCTGGAATCATAGAGCCAAGAAAACCCTGCAATCCGTCGCCCCCATATCCTCCACCCCATCGTGAATCCTGCCATCTGTCATCTCCATATCCTCCATTCCATCGTGAATCCTGCCATCCGTTATCTCCATATCCTCCACCCCATCGTGGTTGCTCATACCAGCCCTCGTGCGAAGATGAAGACGGCGAACGTTTCCATCTTCCCTCTGAAAACTGCTATGCTACAATGGTCCAGAAAAACACTTTAAAGGGCATTTGCTCTAATTATTGTTGTTCCTTACGACATTCAGAACGGCTGGCTATACAGAGAATTCTATAGAAACGCCTCATTTTCTGCATAAATGAATCTTAAAGTGGACGCTGGACGCATGGCGCACGCCAAAACGGGGCTAATTCGAGCCAAGTCTTTTCCACTTCTATCCTAGCAGTTTATTTTATTACAACAGAAGGATGTTCCCACTCACCTTTAAGCCCAGCTACCGCTAGGGCTAAGTAAAATAGTAGAAAAACAGCGAATGAGATTCTCATGTGGTAAGGAATTGGAAGAACCTTCAGAAATACTTTTTAAAAGAAGTGATTGACTAAAGAAATCACCAGCGCTCATTTTATAGCCTGTCATTTGGTATTGTAATAAGTGGGCAGGTTATCAGCGATTTTTGATCAGAAACAGGCTTGATAGCCTGTTTCTGAATGGAATTCTTCACGCGATTACCAGTTATTCCCCAGTTACGGGTAACGAATTTAGCCATGCAATGTTTTCTTTCTTGTGGTAAACTATTGACTGTCACGTGCCCTGAAATGGATGACGTATTATTCTGTGAATAAGCAATATGCAGACCCTTTGATGAGTAAATGTAAATATTAAGAAACTAAAAATACACTTTCTCCTACCTGCAAATAACAATCACTTACGAAGATTTTGCAGACTTCAAAGAAAGAATCTGTCGTCCTATGAGGGTTCTTCGAGAGTTCTAAGTCCTTATAGGAAGACAGACTTTATTGAATTAAATGGGATTTTGACGTTTGCAAAGTCTAGGTCCTTATAGGGAGACAGATTCTAATCCCTGGGTAACCTGCGGCGTTCCTGGCCAGGGGAAGTGGGGAGACGGCAATGGGATATAAAAAATAGTTAAGGATCAAGTAATTAAAGTGTTTAAAATGCAAGCCTTTATCCGGTTTTTTTNTTTTTTTGTTCGCAAGGAAGAGCTTTCATCCATCCGTGGCCTAACAAAAGCGGCACTCTCCAATGCCAATTCAGTGGCACCAGCTTTACCCTTCGCCATAGTAACCACGTTGTTGCTGGCGTTAGAAGGCAAAACCGGGTTAGGCTCACTTTCAAACCCCTGTCTAGGTGAAGTAGCAATGCAACTGATCCTACGGTTTCCAACTCGGAAGCGCGGCGCATACAATACATATTCCTGGGGACCACGTTCCAGAAAAACTAGTGAACCATAGAACCCTGAAACACCCTGTATGTACTGCACTTGGAAGCTTGACCAATATAATACACCTTTGTACATCCTTTTTACGATACACCCCCCGACGCGTTAATCAATCCCATCTAAGGAAAGCTCCCACGCATTCGACTTCCATTCAGAATCGTAGTGGCGTACGTGGCCTCTACAATGAATTGCGGTGGCCAGCCGATGTACATGTCAGAACTTTTATCCTTCCAGACGAGTCTGGTTTATGGAAGGCTTGGTTATCCTGAGCAGATATCGATCCAGGATCGAACCCGTGACCATGCGTGGGTGAAGTGTGCTACTTGCCACTACACCACCTCCTCCCATCTCTCTATATGCCACATAATTCGATATTACTTGAAGTGGCACCGAAAAAAGCTTGATCACGTTTCGAGATAGGTTCTGCACAAGCAAAATGAAAAGCATAAGGGGTTCAGTGGTGCTCCGCCCAAGGGAGGCGGAGCATGCAACGGATTGGATGGGGTTAAAGGGAAAACTTTCTGATTCAGTCTCAAAAAAGCTCAGGCAGAGAGAATAACAGTGCTCAACTGGTCCATTTTGTAGATCGAATACGCAATCGAACGCATGGAAGAATGCATGGAGTGTCCCAAAGCTTTTTAACTCGAAAGATTGTTTCTTTCGCCCCTCACGTTCGGGCGACCTACATAAATCATCGAAAGCCCGAAAGGATTCATGCAAAAAGGAAAAGCTGCCAAAATACTTTATTCATCTAACTAATACATAACTAAAAGCCGAATACATAAGCATGCCGTCGAATACCTTTCAATTAGTTACTTTTTCCAGCCTGAAAACAAGTATATCATTAAATAAGGGCGGTGGAAAAGATAGCTAAATGTCACCTCCGTAAGGGTTATAGCCGCCAAAGTTGCCTGGACCCATAAAGCCAAGGTTACCCGGATATCCGTGATCTCCATACCCTTCACCCCATCGTGGCATTCCATGCCACTCCTCGTGCGAGTGTGAAGAACGTTTCCATCGCCTCTCTGAAAACTGATAAGCTCGAAAAAGCATGCTGAGGGATCGTTAACTCCTGTTTTATTTTAACCTTACTTAGTCATCTTTTAGCTCTTAATAATTCCTGATGTCTTTCACTACAACAGGAATCCCTGGAATTTGGGGTGGGTGCTGGAAGCATGGCGCATGCCAAAATGGAGCAAATTTGAACCAAGCCTTATCCAGCCTTACCCTAACAGTTTATGTTACTTGAGAAGGACAGACTCACTCACCTTTCAGCCCAGCTACCACCAGAGCTAGGTAAAATAATAGAAGGACAGCGAATGAGGAGGTTTTCATGTGGCAAAAGGAAGAACCTCAGGTATACTTGGCTTGACAAAGAAGGGGTTGACTGAAGCAATCGCCAGCTCCTTTTATAGCCAACCTTTCGGTATTGTAATAAGTGGACAGGTTGTTGCCAGGGAATTTCAATTTCAATTCGATTGGAATTGGAATTGAAATTGGAATTTTTCACCCGATTACCAGTTGTTTCCCACTTACGGGTAATGAATTTAGCCAAGTAATGTTTTCCTTCATGTGGTAAAGTGTTGACTGCCATGTGCTCTGAGATGAATGGCATATTGTTCCAAGAGTAAGCGATGGGCACAACCTATGGTGAGTAGATGTAAATAGTAGGAAAGTAAAAACTCCTTACTCCTACTTACTCTCAAGTAACTAAAACCTTCGCAAACTTTAGAGACCTGTTTAATTCAATAGAATCTGCCTTCCTATAAGGGCCTAGATTATCTATGGGAACTTCCCAATTTCCTCCTTGCTACGGCAGAACCGTAATGCTTGCCTAGTCCTGGCTAATCCAGGGCGTCCCTGGCAAGGGAAGGTGGGGAGAAGGCAATGGGTATAAAAATTGGTAAGGAAGCGGGTAAATAAAATATCCTAGACGCAATTCTTTATCCAATACGACGTCATATCCTCTACGCATGGGAAAGCTTTCATCCAACTCTGCATTAATAAAAGCGGCCCTTTTCTCTGCCATCCGTTGGCACTGCTTTGGCCCTACCCCAAAGTAGCCACGTTGCTGCTGAGAATTGGAAGAAAAAACCGGGTCTGGGTCATTTTCAAGTTACCTGTCTAGGTGAAGTAGCAATGCAATGACCCTACGGACTCGAACTTTGATGCACAGTGGACCTGAAAGCCATGTTCCAGAAAACCTAGTGAACCATGGAACCCTGAAAGGCCCTTTAAGTATTACTCCTGGAAGCTTGTCTTATTACCTCCCTGCTTAGGGCCATTTGAAAAGGCGCCCAACATTTCCCGTAGTTTTTCATTAAAGGACGGAAGTCTCTTAGGGGCTGCTGGTCCCGCGGTAACAGTAGGAACGTTTTGGCTGCCGCTGCTTACGTTCACTGAGTATCAGTTCCCGTTCATTGGGCATATGAGTAGGGATTTAGTCGTTTTTAAATTTTCTTCGTTTTTAGTTTTTTGTAATGCTTGGATTTAAGGAACTCCTTAGATTTTCAAAAATTAAGCTAATTGATTTTTGTTCGGTTGGGATTCTGTTCCACACTTTAATTCCGTTCAAGATTTACGATGACAACATTTTTTCTATTAGGTTCTCTATGTTTCTGATGTTGCTTGCTCTAAGTTTGCGATTCTGCTTAGTTGTCGACAATTCACAAGTCGAATTTGTGCTCTTTTGAAAGATTGTGGCCGTCAACGTGTTTCTCTTCATCTTGTAACTTGGTGCATATTCTTCTCGTTCTTTGAGAATCGTCCCAAATCGAGTGTGAGAGCTGTAATTTCCTTTATTGCTTTAGCTCGAAGATGCTTTCGTGTTATTATTGTTCTTTGTAATCTGGTTCTTTGGCTTTCATTACCCCAGTCTCAGTTTGAATGTTGTAGTTTCAGAGGGTAACATGGCGCCGCGAGGCAACCAAATGTTGGGCAATGCCCACTTCCGTAAGCATTGGACGAAACGTATAAAAACTTGGTTCAACCAGCCCGGTCGCAAGCTTAGAAGACGTGAAAACCGTCAGAAAAAGGCCGTTGCCATTTCTCCTCGTCCAATTGCCGGTCTTCTCAGGTGTGCTAGATAGTTTTTTGCTCTTATGCATGGAATTTTTACTTTGCATTCGATGATTTTGGTGATTACCGTGAATCGGACTATTAAAATCTACGGAAGCGAGCCCCTAGTGGTCAGAAGGCTTAATATAAGTTACGCTTCACGAGTGGCAAATTGGTCATGGGAGGCATGAAACTTATAGTTTTCTTTGTAACTTGATCGTCTAGCCACTACTTTTTTCGTTATTTTCGATATTGAATATTTACATTAGCAGTTTCCCAAAAGCTCGAACCAGAGGAAAAAACGAAAGTATATCGCAAATTTTTGAATATTTGCGTGGTACCAGCTATTCTAAGCCTTTATGTTTAGGATGTTCTAGAAACCACGCTAAATAATCTGAACTAGTTTGACACATGCAGTGCTTTCGCTGAATGTGATAGGAATGTTTCTACATTATTTTCCTCTTATGTACTTCATACACCATATTGAGAGCTCAGTCTTTGGACAGCTTTGATTAAAGAAAGCAGTGTTTATGACGCGTTGCGGAATCCTTTCACCAATATATCTTTCATTTCTAATCGTTTAAAATTGTGAGATTCATCCGCGAAACAGGCTTTTAGGTCTGTGGTCCGTTGCCCTACTCAACGTTACAATAGAAAAGTCAGACTAGGTCGTGGATTTACCATTGAAGAACTGAAAGCTGTTGGCATTGGCAAGCGAGAAGCCAGAACTATTGGCATCGCTGTTGACTACAGGAGAACGAACAAGTCTCTTGAGAGTCTGAAGGTATGGTGATATTGTTTCTCTTCCTTGAATGCGTGATACCAGCTATTCTAAGCCCTTTGCTTTGGATATCCTAGAAATCGCGCTAGATCATTTGAACTCGTTTGACACATGCAGTAGAATTGCTGGATGTGATAGGAATGTTTCGACATTTTACTCAATTCTATTATTCTGTTTTATTAATTTACTTCTCATTTTATTGCACTGTTCCATTTTCCTTATTAAGGCCAATGTTGAGCGTCTGAAGGAGTACAAGTCTAAGCTGATTCTATTCCCCAAGAAGCTCAGCGCACCGAAGAAAGGAGACAGCAACGTAAGTTTTTGCCTTGACTCCAACGTTCCCCTTTTTCGCACGGTAGCAGCAGTTCCCTTCAACATTGTAAGGAATTATCCATAAACCGTGCAAGAGTGAAATGGGTTAATTTGACACTTGCATTTTGTACAACGATGTGAGTGAAAGGTTTTCTCAGACATCCGTAATTTCCGCAAATGTTCGATGAAGATATCATTCATCTTTTTCAGCCAGAAGAGCTCAAGGTGGCCGCTCAGCTCCATGGCGACATCATGCCGGTGTCCAATGTTATTGAGTACGAAGCTCCTCGCGCAATCACCGAGGCTGAGAGGAAGACCGAAATCTACCGCCATCTCAGGCGGGTACGTGCTGATAAGAAGTATGCCGGTATTCGTGAAAAGAGGGCTAGGGAAGCTGCTGAAGCCGACAAGTAAATTGTTTGTTGATTTCTGTTATTTACATAAACTTGTTATGATACCTTGTTCACATGCTATTAAAGAGTTATCACATACACCTTTTCCTTATCAGCACTGAAGTGTAGATTAAAATTGAGCGCAGTTTTTCTGCGTACTATACTGTGTATTTGCCACCTACACAAACCTGAAAATGAGAAGTGGTCTTGACATTTTCTTCTCACAAAGTTTTGAATGGGATGGATTCAATATATATTTAGTTAGTACTTAGTTACAGTTCTGAGCCTCAGTTGATGGGTTCGGATGCGAATGAACTCTTTTGAGACTCGTACATAATCTATGCTCATGCGATGTACTAAGCCGATTTAGAATTCTAAAGGATTTCCTACTAACTACAATTGATATCATGGGCTTAAACGGAACTAAAAAAATCGTCGAAATCGGCCGCATTGCAAGCAGGTAGGTGGGGCTCGATGAGAGGCTTATTCTGAAATCCTTTTTCATTGGTTGCTTACTGAGTCACATTAATTCAACCTACGGAACTGGGCCAGCTCATCTCGTCTCTCATAGTTCATAACGATCTGAAATTATTCACACAACTGATTTTTAGAGAACAAAAAATGCATGTGTACAGGTAAAAAAGCGTCTTGCCAAGCACAGAAAAGGTGACTTGCAGTAAACAGATGAAGTGAAATTAACACCAATCAAAATAAAGTTGTGAAAATAAATATTGGTGTGAGGAGGTTGAAATCAGAGGAAGGAGTTTCATATGAGATCGCAAAAGCAACCTTCTACTTTTAAAAAGTGAAATTTATCCAGCACTTTGCTAGTCCCTCCAACAATGAACCTTTGTTAGCAGTCTTGTGGGTAATGCGCTTAAGAAAGAGGTAAGGATGGTCAAATTACAACATCTGAGCCTTACTAGGTTAATGGGGTTAACGGGTGACTTCAGTCGATATGCGACTTTTCCGCGGAACCCTAGAAAACAGTCTTCCAAGAGGGGATATGGTCTAGATGAGCCACACTTTTACCCCTGAGTGAATGCTCCTCCCTTGACCTGTTCCGGTGATTAAACCAGTGATTCTTTATCAAAAGGTCCTAAACAATTTCTATGAAACAGGGATTTTTGAGATAAATATCCAATCAATTGTATATATTTATGAAATTCTTCACATGAGAAGTACTTATTTACTGTCATCACAATATGGCTTCAAAGGAGGCTCTGGATATTCTTGCACATCAATCCAGCATCTGCGAGGATTGCGCCCTAATTTGTCTATTATGTAGAATGATGTTTCTAAGGCAGGATATTACATTTTCAATTAAGGAAAGATTCTAGGTTTTCTTCAGTTATTCGAGAATATGATCCAAATACAGTTGCACACCAGCGCACAAGCCTCGCTCCCTTTCTCTTGAACTTCAGGCCACGAAGTGGAATAATTTGTTAAAACACCCTATCAGGTGGAGACATCAAATTAGCTTGATTCCTCAGGGTCACTAAGAAAAAGCGCTAAAGTCGAGGCTAGGTACCTGATCCGGTCTTACAGCGTTTCATAGGTGGAATGGCTGATTTAAGTCTCGTTTATTTGTGAAATAATGTTTTTCTCAAAACAATAAATGTTTATTGGGAATTATAAGGTGTTTGATTAGAGAGGAATTCGTGATCTTCGGGTGATAGATGAATTTATATGATAAATAAAGTAAAAAAAGCTGAAGGTGAATCGCATGATCAGAGTTCATTATGAAGTGTGCCTTGGGGTGTGGTGCAGTAAGAACGAAATTGTCGCGTCGCGGCGAGAGAGACGCCGTGCGCGAAGGAATATAGCAGGATGCAGCAGCAAGTAATAAATTCAGTAACAATAGAACGAACAGTAGAAACATGCATTAAGTAATAATCGCATAGCGATTGAGCTATATGAAGAACGCTAAAACTGTTATAATGAGGCAAATGATCCGCGACAGCCGCGTGCGGCGGGCGACCACACTAAACCGTTCCTACTGCCCGTCTCCCGTGTGCCTTGCATGCAACTTCCATGATTTTTAATAAAAATAACCTTTTTTTTCAAAATGCTGCTGTCTCTGAGCTTCATTCCAACTTGTTTTTCATGTGTATTTTCGAAGCTCTTGATACTCCACTTTATTGGTTATGTTGTTCCAATAATGAACACGTCATCGATATAACGTTTGTAGAAAAGTATTCCACTAGTTAATGATGACTTCTCGATGTGGTCCAAGAAGATGACTGCTAACACAGGCGCTATACGGTTACCCATGGCAAGCCTCGTTTTTACTTGTAAAACTTATTGTCGAAGCGAAAAATGTTGCATTCCAGTGCCGCTTCGATGAGATCCTTAACTTCGCTGGCGGAAAATCCCATCATCGTGATATGGTCTTCATTATTATCTCTCATCTCTCTCTATCTCTTATCTCTCATCGAGGATAATGAAGACCACATAACGATGATGGGACTTTCCGCCAGCAAAGTTAAGGATCTTATCGAAGCGGCATTGGAATGCAACATTTTTTGCTTCGACAATAAGTTTTACAAGTAAAAACGA